TGGAGCAAGTCCTATAGCATAAAAGTAAATGCACTGAAAACCCAAGTCATTATTGTTGGCAGGCCCGCAATGACAAATAAAATTAACCGCTCATGTTTACCTGCAATTTTTTTCGATGGTGTTGCTTTATAGTCCCTAGTGATAGCGTACGAAATCTGGGTATAGTTATAGATAAAAACTTGACATGGGGACCACAGATCGAGCAGACGAGTCGGAAAATGTTTGCTGCAGCTGGTTCCTTGAAGAAGCTACGTAACTTCTTACCAGTGGCCACTAGAATTGCGCTCGCACAATCCTTTCTTCTTCCAATACTGGATTACTCCGATGTCAGCTATCTAGACTTAACTGAGGAGCAACTGAATAAACTTGAGAGACTTCAAAATTTTTGTATTAGATTCATATTTGGGTTACGCAAGTATGATCATGTATCTGATTTTCGGACTAAGCTCAAGTGGTTGCCAATTCAACTTCGTCGGAATGCACATATTGTTTCCCTGCTTTACAGTATACTGTTTAATCCTCTCTCATCAACTTATCTTAAGGAATGTTTCAAGTTCCTTCGTGATACGCACTGTTGTGTTTTGAGATCATCGGAGAACCTAAAACTGCAGATGCCTGTGCACTCCACAAAATTCCTTGATAAATCATTTGCAGTTCAGGCTGTTCGCTTGTGGAATGCCTTACCTGAAGAAATAATGAGCGCTCCTTCATTAAAATGTTTTGAAAATATGTTAAAGGAATACTATCTATCACTTTAGGAACAAATGCTATCGTATTATCCTGTTATATTTATCTTGGTACTGTTTTATTTTAATTGTTTGTATGTTTATTGTATTATAATTATATTATATATGTTTATTATATTATATATAGTATATTATATTTATATGTAGAGGTATGTATATGTTATTTGTAACCTACGGTTGCCTGGCAGAAATTGCTATTTAGCGATAAGGCCGCCGATTGTACAACTAAACTGTATCAATTGTGATTTCTCTATAATTTATGGTGTACAATAAAGAATTTATTCATTCATTCAGTACCCAGTGCAGGGTCAGGCACAGGAACACCTGGTAGCGGGGGAGCAAAACTTATTTCTAGCGATTGCTGAATGTGTTTATTACATTAAATGAATGTGTGAGTATTTTGTATGAAAATAATTTAGCTTTCCACGATATTCCCACCAACTTCTGAGATCCGGTGAGTCGCCGCATATCACGATTGTGCAATGTCCACAGCTTAGTCTATTTTCGAGTTTGTAGCTAATTTTAAAATGTTAAAAAATCGCCTTTAATGTATGTTACATTACATTGCTCCGTCGCCTTAAGGCGTTTCAGCACCTGATCTCCGAACTGGGTATGTATACCCTTTGTACTTCAATATACTTACTGAAATGACAAGCTTTCGAAAGATCTTGCACGTTTTTGTCACGAGCTCTTAAATTATAAGTACCTATCCGGTCTGTCGGAAATTCCGTGCATTAGCAAGAATCGAATAATTACGTCTTACACAACTGTTTATTTTCCAAGCATCTAAACCAATAAATTTATTAATAATATTATTATAGTATGATAATGTCTACTGTAATTGTTCCATTGTGATATCAAACGACTAACTTGTATGCAAATCTTTCGCAGAATGTTTATTTATTAAATTATATCCTTATGTCGAAGTATAGTAAAAAATATAGCTTTTTTATTATTGTAAAAATACGTATAGATTATCTCTAAGTTTTATTATTAATTTAAATTAAAACACAAAGAATATTTGTAGGTATGCAGATAGAATACATAAGAACTAAAATACATAAGAATTAGTGAACATTTTTTTACATGATTTCATATTATTAATCCTACTTATAAGTGCAAGGTAACTCATATGTGTTTGTTACGTTTTTACGCTTAAACTACTGAACGATCTTAATGAAATAAGTTGCAGAGATAGAATTGACGATAGGAAAAGATTTGTAACGCGGGAAAAGGGGGAGGTTAAAATAGGGGATGAAAGTTTGAATGGAAATTTGTTATTGAAGGTTATACGAATGCAGAAAAAGTAATTTAGCAAACGAACTTTTTATTGTTTATTTTTCAAAATTCAGGATACAGATTAGAAGAACAGGATTGTAGTTTCGGAGATAAGGAGTGGAGAAATTATTTCGACCAGTTTTATTATATTAGGTCCTCTCATATGAAATTGGTGTTTTGTATGGGAGGAACAAAAAGTCGAATATTTTTTAATATTATATATTTATTTAATCTAAGTATAAACCATTGTTATCTATGCACTTTTGCCATCTCATAGGTAGTTCATTGATTCTCTTACTAAAAAAAAACCATTCGGACGGGAATCATAAAATTACAATTTCCTTCAAGTGAATTAAAACAGTTTCATCACTAACACCGCAGCCTGCAGCTAACTCGGACGTGGTTTGCGATGGATCCGCTTCTACAATAGCCTTCAATTCTTTATTATTAACTCGGGTCTCCAGCCGTTCACGGGGCTTGTTCTGCAGGTCAAAATTTCCAGAACGAAAACGTTGGAACCAAAAACGAACTGTGTTTTCTTTTGCCATACAACTGCCATACACATTATAAACCCTTCGAGCCGTTTCCGCAGCACTGGTTTGTCGTAAATATCACGATATTTCAAGTTTTTCATTTTTTATACTGAGTGACGTAAATAGGATAAACAGACGAAAAAATAAATAAATGAGTACCGCCTAACGAAACACAAATACATGTATAAATTTGAATTTGGAATTCCCAACCAAGGAGGAGAAATTTGTGATTAAAATGGCCAGTACGACAAAACGTCAATTTCATATGTAAGGACCTAATGTATATATATTAATTATAGAACAACACCACATCCATTGCCCAGATTCCAAGCTGAGTAGCTAAAGCCCCCGTATTATAAAGTAACTGAGACGACGAATGTACCACAACACTCAGACTCGTGACAATATAGAAAAAATAATTTACTACATTGACCCGACCGGTCTAAATCTCTCAACGTTCCTTCACGCGTAGGCTCTCTGGTTTATAATATATATATATATTTTTTTTTACGCAAGCTACCATGTTTATTGTCCTTGTTTCTTGTTAACACCCACAACTACTCTGTATGTTCTGTAGTAACATAATAATATTTACGTAAAACAAATCTTGACCACATCCGTATATGATGATATGATGAGTCAAAGAATCAACTTGCATACTTTGATTAAAATGAAAACCTTTTTTTTATTTGCATACTCGCGGTCGGCCCTGGCTTTACACGAGACTTTAAGAAAAATGACATATACCTAACACGTTTTATTTGTCAATGTGATATGTATAATTTAAATAAGATAGGACTGAGCTACAGGTTATGTAGATCGAGTGCACAGTGCAACTTTCGCAAGGGGCGGTCATAGGATGGGTAACCAAAGTTATTTCGAGCTCCTCCATACTACGGAAGGCACATCAAGCCATTGGTCCTGGCTACATCTGGAATCGTTAAAACAACACCCATCAATCCGCTCCTAGCCCGCGTTGTGGGTCAAGGCTAGGGTTGAGGTCTCTGGCTATTTTAAGTTGTACCCGGCTAAATAAAGTTATGTCCAGTCAATGCGGCTCTTGCCAGGTATTTGCATGCTCAAATACCAAATGATAACTAAAATAAAACTGTTCATTGATTAATGTGTGATCTATAAGCAACAAAATTTTATTATGATAAAAGTTATTAATATAAAATTAAAAACGTATTACATCCGCTTTAGTAATAGTGATAATGGTGAAGTCCGGTTTTTGGGGCAAAAGTCCGACCTAATATAACACAGAGTCAGACTTCTGAATTTTCGAAAACGGCAACCCTACTAATGGTCCATTTTCCATATTTGACAAGATTCCATCCATAAGAATACAGAAAAGAGGTTTCCATCCACAGCCAAGGCCTGTGCTAAACCGATTGAGTTCAAATTTGGTATATACATTCAAGTCTTCCGTATTCATCTGATGAGGTCTCATCTCATACTCATCCCAAACTAATATTCTTAACTCAGCCTATTATATCATTTTAATATATTTTTTAATCGAACCTTATCTCATTTCTTACTCATCTAAAGGAGTAAATATTACAAAAAAGAACGGTTAGTTAGTCTGAAGTCTTCCATAAGAATAGGCTCTGTATATTAAGGTGTCATGATTCATGACTCAGGATCTTTTCCAGCATCTTCAGCCATGTCTGCCTACTTTTAGATGTCTTTTGGTGGATTAATTTGGAATAGGTAAATGAATATGAATTTTAAATTAAGCACGTGCTTAATTTAAAATTGAACACGTGCTTAATCTGAAATGGCTTAAGTACGTACTTAAGCCATTTCAGACGTCATTTGAACACGTTTTTGTTTCTGTTTTTTTTTTTATGATTAGTTAATATCAATTTGATGAGCTAGGACTTTTTGCCATGAAATATCTGCATCCTTGTCAGTAGTTTCGTAGGCAGCTGCGAAAGATGTCGTTACACAGATGTTTCGCTTTCGTAAACGAAAATGTCGGTGTACCAACGGCGTCATGAAACATAATAATTGAAAACAAACACACTTTTTAGGTAGATGGGATTTGGATATCAGGTTACTACAGTATGTCGAATTTTCGCAATTAATTTTCAACTCTACCTTCAATGTATTAAAGTTAAAGTCGAGCGAGTTTTGTACCTATATATACTGCATCTATGTAGTTTACGTGAAAGTTGTCAATATTTACGATATTTAATTACAATAGTACGCAATATTTATATGACACCTAATTTCTATTTGATTATGTTTTCGTTTACTGAGTAATAGGACTGCTTTCCTAATGACAGGTGCAATTAATTAACTCGCATAATAAAAACCCATTGATGAAGAAATAAAGATAGAATCTTCTGGAATGTGTTAAATTTTGATTACAAACACTTGTTTGCTAAGTAACGCCAACTTCCTTGAATATTTTTTTAAATGTACACAATGAACCTGGGGTATTCTTAAAAGAACCCAAACTATAAGAAAATTGAATGAAACATATGTTTAGTTTAAAAAAACTGAATTTATTACGCACTTTGTTAAAACATCTTTGGCACTACAAAATAATGTTTTAATTTCAATTTTGTTTCACATTTTCTAAATTAGTTACATGGTCAGAAACTTCGAAATCAGGTAGATATTTACTTGGAAATGACACATAAAATATTACTAGGAAACTTCCAACCGCAAATTTTCCTTTGAAGCCTTAATAAATAAACATAGGATAACATTGCTCAGACTCCAAATAAGAAAGAAAGAAGGACGAAGGTAACACAACACCTGGACCCGAATAAATATATAAAAGTTGATAATAGAATATCATTGTGCTAACCGGGAAAAATCTCAGATTGTGACACCTTAAAACCGGGCTCGGAGTTTTTTCAAAGTTCATTATTAATTTGGTCGCAGAAACAACCTAACGTGCTTTAGAATAGCGCACAAAATCGTATAAACTATCAAAAAAGATCTTCGAGTTATTTAGCAACTCTACAAAATCTAAACAAATTAATACAACAGCCACCAACAATGATAAATTTCTACAGTCAATTTAGAACTCTAAGAAAACGCATTATGACCTCAAACCAATTGAAAATTTAGACATTTTTTTATAAATCTGCTGTGAATGTTCTGTCATAAAAACGTCCTCGAGCATAGCGCTGTCATTTCATAGAAGTTCCATCATATAAAACCTACTTTAAAAGAGGTTTCATTTAATCGACTATTTCAAAAGGTAAAAGAGGTTTCATATTATCGAAACTATGCTATCACAGTGCTGTACTATTGAGCATTGATTAAAGGTGCAATGCGTTTTTATCGAACCAAAGAGATTTATAAACCATTTGATTTGATAGCATTGGTTAGGTATACAACGCAAAGTTTAGAAAAAGTGCAACAAAATTTTACATATAATCAAAAACTAAATTGTCAATAATCATAATCGAAATGGTTATAACAATCATTATCACTATTAAATAAATGGAATTCAATAGTAACTAATAAATATCAAATTGTATAATAATAAATATAAAGTAACACATAACACCGCATTCACTAAACATAAGACAAATACGAATAAGTTATTTATCAAATACCAATACTTTTTTTATAAAGAGCTTTAATAAGAGTGAGCATGAAAGAGAAGAAAAATGAGAGAAAAAAATATAGAAAAGAACAAAACGTCTTGTGACAATCGATTTTTAACGATTACTCAATCTTAAATTGAACCAGAGAGATTAATTAGAGTTAAATAATAATGAATATCATACAATATACAGTGCTCAAATTCCAAATTAAGTAGCTAAAAGACATGAGAAAAAATGATGGGAGTCCGATACAGCGTAAGTGAATTGAACTTTAGACACAATACCTAAATATTTTTCCCATTTTTAATTACGTTAATTCATCCGATTATGAAAACAATGACAACCAAAAGTACAGATTTGGTATTTGATAAATAATTTTTCTTTACCTAAGTTAGTGAAAAATCAACTACAAAACAATATATTTTAGCGAATCCGACCTTTGTAGCTACCACATTACCTGTGATTATTTTCATATAAAAACTATATTTAAATTACATTTTTAGTTGACGAAACTTTTGCTATTTCTTAATAAATAAGATCGTTATATTTTAATCTGTTTAATCGTCATATCTTCAATGATATTATTTTTAGTAAAATATAGAATCAAAGACTTATTAAACGATTAAAGTTTGATTTTTCAATTTTCAGATGAAATCATTTTTATCTATAGCCAATATTATTTTGTTGTGCGTACTGTTTCTAGTGGATACTGAAGTTAGATACTGAACTTAGAGACGCCAATTTAATAAAATGTCCATTATTTGTTGTCATTAAAAAATGGTCTTTATTGTTATCATAAGTGTTTAATGCAGTCCCCGAGTTCAGAGGTTGCAGTAAAAAATAAACCGCATTTTTTTTCCGCTAACGACAATAAGCCATAGGTGTAACTTTATTTTGAAATAAATTTGTAGCGACTACAAACTACTACTAATTAAATAAATATCAAACATTCTATAATTAGAAAAACCGTATCCAAACACTAGTTTTAATAGACAAACAAAACTTTTCACCGCTTCATAACCCCTCATCACTTGTTGACGAAAGTATCAATGTCAACCAAAAGTTTTTGTATGATATACATCGGCCATCCAACAAAATAATAATGTTACGGCTCAGTTATATAGTCGACCAGCACTCGTAGCATGATGAATACGAAAACTTTTTGTCTACATCCAAATGGCACTTTTCTAGATGCGACCATACGATATCTCACTCTCGTGACATTTAGGTTTTCGAGTGTCATTTTTCCATTGTACTATCTATCTGAAGTCCAATATTATTATATACTAGCTTTCCGCCAGCTAGCTTCGCCAGCGTGAACGCTAAGGAACTGTTTCATTTGTGTTAAAAAATAGCCTATATGTTAATCCAGGCTTAGAATAGGGATGATGACTAATTTTTGTTTGTTTGTCCGTCAGGTAGTGTTAAAAAAATATTAAACACGTATTTTTTTCATAATCATAAAATTGCGGCGTTACATGGAGTTGAAATTTCGCATGACGTCACGTTATGGTACGTTTTCTACTCAAATGTGACGTAGCGAGCCCCCACTCCTCAACTTTAATGCCTGTTATCTAAGCTATTTCTTGTTAAATTGAAGTAAAAAATGAATACGCATCTAATAGTTTTCTATTATCTGACTGACGGACTAAATAGAATTGCATTTTTTTACCCAGTCGTCATCCCTATTATCCGTATACAAAGTTCCATCAAAATCCGTTCAGTAGTTTTTGCGTCAAGTAGTAACGCACATCCAAACATACAAACTTTCGCCTTTCTTAGTAAGATTTGTCACCATTGATGTGTAAGGAACGCACTACACTAATAATATTTAACTTTAGGTAGATAGTACAATGGTAAAAAGTATCAATAAAATATAACCGATCAATGAGAGGGCGCCACAGTAAAATACCGGAACCCGCTCGCAAACCTCATCGACCATTGTAAGTACACCATAATAGGGAATATACATTCTTGTATACTTTCGAGTCGAGTTTAAAAAAACATAATTTACGAAATTTCCATGATTTACTGAGATATGAACGTTTAAAATCTGGATTTGACAGGAATCGATGTAATAGACTGTGACGTCAACGTCTAGCAAGCCGTAATCGGCTTACGGGAGTGACAAAGACAGAAAGATCTCTCACTTCAAATGCAACGTATTATTAGCGAATACATAATATGCGAGTGCACAATCTAAAAACCTATCAGAAAATTGTACAGTCAGGTTACTTTATAACAAAACGTGAGATTTCTTCACACGATTTTAAGCCTTAATGACGTAACAATAAATGGCATTTCAATATCCATTCAAATAAATAACACAAACACATTTAATCTCAACACTAAGAAAGATTCGTCTCTAAAATAAAAAAAATGCAATAACGTTATTCTGTTGGATGTACGAATAGATCATAAATGATTAATAAATAAGACTTTATGTATATAACAATAACTACTAATACGAAACTCGCGTAAATTATATATTTAGATACCACAAAGGTACCGGCACAGCACCATCATACTTGCGTCAGGTTTACATTTTTGTGTGACGTCACTTTTACGTAATTACATAGTTATTTAGTAAAAACGCTGAATAACAATTGTAGTGTTATTATAACTTTAGATTTACAACTTTTTCATTTTAAACACCAATGTACAAGAGCTGGCACTCTTCAGATAAGAGAAAGATCAATAAAAAGACAGGCGATCAAAATTGTGTATTATACAAGTTTCATTAAAGTCTAAAATTCAATGTCCTGTGAGTTAGCATACTTAATACCTTATGAATTGTTTGGACAGTGTGCAAAGTAATAAAGCTCTTTTTTGATATTTTTTCATATGTTGATACACATACATGCATATCCTTTTACATATGGTTTGGCGATCAAGGCCGAAAGAGTGACGTATAGACGTCTTATTAACTTACATTGAATTATCAATTTTATGAGGTGAAATTTATATAACGAAAATAAATATACCGAGATCAATAAAAGTACAATTTCATATGTGTGATTCTAAACCCTGTACACATTAAATAAGGTTGACTTTATATCGTAATTTTTCTTTCTCTCTCTCTGCATATCTGCGCCAATCCTTAACTCCGTCAGTTTGTTTACAAAAATTTGTAAGAATCATCTTTGATCACTTAAATATAACCCTCTTTTTCACACTTACAGGATCAACCCAATCGAGGAACTTCTTTACGGCAATATTTTTTGCGTAAAAATCAGTTTCTAATCTATATCCGTCTTTTTCATACTTCACCGAATGTATCACACGACAAAAATGGAACTCTTCTTTAGGAAATGTTCACATAGTATTGCTGATCTCTTTTAGTGTTGTATATTAGTACTAAAACTATCGATACTGTCGACATTTTAAAAATTAATAATAATATCGAATAGCCTATATAAAAAATGAATGTGATAAGGCAAACTTTGTGAATTACAAAATTACAACGGTCCTTCATGTCTGAATGACACAAAAACACCTACTAATAGTCATCTAGTAACGTCCATAGTATCGATCAACATATCGATATTATTATTATTTTTCAGTATCGACAAGTATCGTGGTATATTCATAAGATAGGACGAGATATTATTCCGTCATTAGTGACTACATGACGCAACATTGGCTGGGGTCTTGTCCCATAGGTGGGGCGAAGGCTTGTGGTGGAGCTCCAATGTCACCAACTAATTCTGTTGGCGGTTGACCTAAATCTTGCATCTGCAATTCGTGAAATTAAAAATATTATCTTCTTTAATGTAAACAAATAATACATCACAAAGAAAGCAAGAAAGTAGAGTAAACAAAATTTGCTAACCAACATAGAATGTCGATTACCGAATTTTGCAAACCATAACTAAAATTAAATCAATAAAATATGGGAGGCGTAAACGCAAGCCGAAGTAATAAATAGATATGTCTCAATAAATAAACAAAGGGAAAAAAAACAGTCAGAAAATACAACATTGCTACAAGTTTTCTTTTTTGAAATTTTTCTTTATGTAAAATTAAAAAAAAAAGAAAATTTTATTGTCTTCAAAAATATATGTTTTCAATGTTTCACAAGAAAATAATTCTACAGATTTTAATATTAAAGCACACTATCAGCCGGTTTTGAATTGAGAAACTCACAAAATCTCAACTAATAATTCTCAATTACTTAAGTTTTTTACGTTTCATGTGGCAAAAAGTCCTAGTTTTACCAAATTGCTATCAACTGATCATAAAAATTATGATCAGTAATAAAAACCTGTTTAATTGACGTTTAAAATTGCTTAAGCATGGTTTAAGACATGCTCAACTTTAATTTCTGAATTCAGAAACCGGGTGTATAAGTCTGAATTTAAATATTTGACATATTACACCGGATAATAGTCTTTAAGGATTCGATATAATATAAGTAGAAACCAAAAAGTAGGAGTTTCTCCTCTGTCTTTGAATGAAGCCAAGTGGTCCACTATTTAAAACGATTTAAGTGATGAAACTAAATTTCCATTGATATACAACATACCTTTTGCATTAGTTCTAGAACTTTCTCAAATCTTTTCCTCTTGACGTCTTCAGTGTCCGACTCTAATTCTGGCTCGAGTTCAGTACATACTTGTTGCATTAATTCCAACTGTTTCTCAAACCTGTTTGACATCAAACATATAGAGCTTGAATAGGTTTACAATTAAACTTACATTTCTTCTGATTAAAAAATATTATGGTGGTGGTGTCCAAGATACTAGATTGGTTTAAAAAACCTGAAAGCTTTAAAATACACTACAGATTTAGTTTTAAAACTATATAATGTTTCTTTGAATTAAACAACAACTCCAAAGTGTATTAATACAATAGTTTAGATAATGCACTTATACACTTTTTATTTCAAAATTATTAGGGGCTGTCCATTAATCACGTGAGGCTCGAAAGGGGGGGGAGGGGTCCATAAAAAAGTCACGAGATATCACAAGGGGGAGGGGGGGTGAAGTAACATATCACGTGTATTTATTTTTTCGACAAACGCGCGATACTCAATCGAAAAGCGGCGTATATAAGTGTAATAAAATTATGTTTTCGTCAAACGTTCATTAAATAATAATATTCATTAAGTTTTTCGCATTACTTTCATTATTTTTGTCAATCATAAACAACCTGAAAGTCCTGTAAACTTTCTGTCTACCTCTAGACATTATTGTACTCTTTAATTGTCTATAATACAATTAGAAAATTAAGATTCATTGTAAGTACTAAAAATACACGTGATACATGGGGGGGGGGGGGGTAGTCTTAAACCTTACCATGTATCACTATAGGGGAGGGGAGGTTAAAAAATGCCAAAAAAAAACATCACGTGATTAATGGACGGCCTCTTATGGGAACAGTCTGACTAAAGTAGTCAGACTGGTCCCATAATAACTCGGTCTATAATTCGGTCGCCGAACAGAGAGAATTCCGTACATTGACCTTTGTGCCTTCTGATAGACTTTGTAAACATTTTAGTTTCACTTTACTATGACAAAAGTGGCTAGATGCATCTGTGCGAGCGCAGTAGCACAATGACCGTGCTATATATGTATGAATATTACACAAAAATCTACTAAACTGTGGGAATTCCAAAAAAAGTATAATATATCACCAATACCAATAAAATACCTTTCATATTCCTTTTGCTCTATTTTTCCTTTATTATCGGCCAACCACGCCGGATATTTATCCACTAGTTCTTTAAGAGATGGATACAACACTTCTTTAGATAGTAATGACTGCATTATTCCTTGCATGAAGGGCACGAACATGTTGCCATCCTAAAAACATACTCAAATGTCAGATCACATGACATAATTAAAGGCATGATCATGTTATGTAGGTATTTCTTTCATATTTTACCTGTTCAGCACCTTCGCCTAAATTGAAATTTTGGAACATATTAGCCAAGTCTTGTTCCGAGAATGGCGTCTGAAGATTTTCAGCGTTTGTATTTAGATTTTGCAACGTTTGGGATATTGCTACAGACACCTTTAAAAGCAATGAAACATTATTAACTAAATATAAACGTAATTAACTAAATATAAAGCATGGTTGCCTTATAAACTCGCTACTTGCTTTATTGTTTCAAATAAAGAGTTAGTCAATAAAGGCTCACAAATTTTTGATAGCTTTTATATGTTTAAAAATACAGCAAACACATTCAAAGCCTTTTTGAAATAGGCAAGCTCAATCATAGTAGCAAATTGCATCCCCCATAACTGAATAAATATTGAATATTTCTTGTCCTTGTCTATCCTCTACCATCCCCCCTCTTACCTAACCTAATATAGGTTTAAATTGAGCACCTTTTTTCTAATTATATGATAGTAAAAGAGTCTCTATCAATCAGCTGTAAATTAGTTAACACCAATCTCATTGTCTATGTCTTTATTTGAACACACTACTGTTTATGAAATGTTTGAATTATGATTTCAAAAGAATTGTTGGCTATTGACAATTTTTCAAACATAACGCCTTAATATAAAGAGATAAGGGAAAGAGAAATTACCTCGTCTATTTTTTCTTGAACTGCTGGAGTTCCTGTAGATTCAGCAACAGGTACTGCTGAGTCACCAGCTTGAGGGCCTGGTTGTAATACATGTGCAGCGGCTTCTGCAAAACAAAAATATTGTTCACTAGCTACTTTACCTCAATTTCGTCCGCGTAAATTATAGCTTATGTCACCCACGTATGATGTAGCTTTCCGTAAAAAAAAACGGATATAATTACAATGACAAATCGGATAGTAAGCAATGGTTACTATGGAAACATTTCAATTTCCTATATAAACTTCCACTCCCATTTTCATCCCTTTATTTGCTGTTATTCGGGATAAAATATAACCTATATTTACCACATAAGATGTGAATGACTTTTAAATAGGTCCAGTAGTTTTGGAATCTATTCATTGCAAAGAAATAATTAAATCTTTCCTCTTTATAATGTTATTATGTTATAAAGATTGATTATAATTTTATAAACATAGTTACCCACCAGCCATTTTTGTGAAGGTCTGCGCTATTTGTTCCTGAGTGATTTGGTCCTCTGAAACATTCAAATTACTTACATAAATGAATTAATACCAAACATATAATTTAGGCTGTATACTTTTATTTTTATTTGCAAACTTTTATAATATTGGACCTATACTTAAGTAAGAAGATAGAATATTATTTACTTTACACACAAAACAAAAATACATGGTGTTTTGTTGTATTGAAGATGGATTTTTTTTTTAAATTAGGCATTATAATTTTAAGTAAGTTTCCTACTATACACCTTCTAAATATTTTAGTCTAAAATCTTTATATTAATATCAGCAACCCTAAAGAATATTATGAATTTATTATTCAAAGTACAGCTTTATACTAGTCAATGCAAATCTAATTAATTCTTTAAATAATTCGTGAAGTGGCTGTAATTTTCATATTCTGGCGCAAAATAATATTTTATAATTGTTAGATATAAAATACAAACTAGTTTTCTATATTAACATAACTAGCTCTCAGAAACGATAACTGCCGGCTTAAACCCAACTTTCAGACACTATTGAACTGTTTTCAATATGTAATGTCCTCAATTTTGCTAACACTAACTTAATAATGATACTTCAATGGTGTTTCAATCAAAAGTATTTTTCTGATGCACATTTATCTAGCTGACTCTAAATATTGATAATAATGTTGATGTATCAATGTTTATGGATTCATAATTACTTCAACATTCACAGAATTGAGCTCCAGCACTAACCTGGCACACCACTGAAACTACCCAAAATGGCTGCCATATTGCTCTCAAATTGAGCAGCTGCTTCTTTAATAAACTCTTCACTCCACATATTCTGTGGCACTCCATCTGTATTAGCAGGATTTTCTCCACTTTGCTCTTGCTTCTTCGTCATGTCTTGGAGTGCACCTGGTGAGTACTTTATTATTATAAATAATGTTTTTAAATATTTTTAAGCAGAAGAAAAAAAATAGATAAACTGACAAATAAATTTAAAATTCATGTAAAGAATATAGTTATGAGTGAAGGCTATTATAAAGTTGATGATTATAAAGATGATGAATTAATATAATAGCCTTCGCTTTATTCTATAACAACTAATTATATGTACAACCTATGACCTACAGACTTTGAAATTTGTATTTATTATTGTGATAATACATATTATTTTGGTAATATGATTTATGTAAATTTCATTACTTGTTATAAAGAGCTGGTAAGTTTTTTTTCACTTGTTCTTCTTGTCAGCTAAAAGACGTCCTGAACAAGTAGTAGGGATTTTTTTTTTTTGACAATTCAAAAGTGCTAGTAATAAGCCTACTTGAATAAAAAAATACACGCATTACAACTGTTCAAAATTAAATTTGTGAGCATTGGAATATGAGAAACATGATGTTTTTTCTGAGATTCTTTAGGTTTGGGGGTCAATCTTCAGAACCACTGAACCATTTGATAAGTAATGAACCTTTTTAGTACCATTCCAGTCAGGTATTTTTTAACTGATTCTAGAAAACACCAAAGGAAACAGTCCATTAAACCATCTTTTGCTTATAAAGTATTTTCCCCAGGGATGATATATCTAAATATTTCTACTACTTATATGGTTTAAATTAATATTAACTTAAATGCTTTATTATAAATTAAATCCTTTCACAGTATAAAAAGTTAATTTGGTCAAATGTGTGTAAGAAAATTACCAACAGTATCACTGAATACTAGCAGTACTCAATGAAAGTCACGCAGATGCTATTAAAATACAATTAATTTACGTAATTTAATTGTTCTTTCAATTCAAAATCAGTAAAAATACAATTTTAATATAAATTCTATTAATGTGAAAAGGTTACAAAATTATTGTGTAACACAAGTCATAAGGTGAATTATAAAAAATAAACTTACTATCCAGCAAGTCATCCAATTCGGGGTCCATTTCGTTTTTCGGTACATCTTTGTTGTCAGACATTATTATTTATTTAAAAAACGTATAAGTAAAAAAATAAAAGTTTCAATTTCTTCAGCAAAAGCGATGGAATTTGAAGAAAGGAATTTCTGATTTTTCATTTGTCAATGTCAATTTTGACAGTAACTAAAACTGACAGTTCAATTTTTTAAATCCACGATCACGTGAAAAGTTTTGTTCATACCTAAAGCCATAGCTAGACATGTGCTAAAATACGTAGTGTTGCACGGGCATTTGAAAATATTTTGGAACTGTCTGTTTACCCAAACTTTAATGATGTATGTCGTTTACATGATAGATGTAGTTTTGATTCATCCTTCTTTATAATATCCATTCATGATCAGTTTCGGGTAACAAATATATCCACTCGTCTGTCGGGCCGCCTAGCGACAAAAATGCACTTCTGTTGGCACCGCGTCGCGAGCACGTCACAGACAGGGTCGCGGAGCGTGTCGATTCTTATTAGAATGTGTTTTTTTCCAATAAGACCGTTAAAATAAGCTTAAACTAATAATATTCGGAATCTAGAAACAATTATCTAGTAGCATTATTAATTACAACTGCTCTGAAGAGTTAATAACAATAGAAAATAACTATGGAAAAATTGGTTCTAAAAAATTGGAATTTTAATTTGGAATTAAATAAAAACAACGCAATGAGTTCTATGTATTTTTATTGTTATTTAATCCTGCCCATATATAAATAACATTACAAGCAAAATATTTGTACACGATCATAGAAATAGTTTTTGTATAACAAGATTCTTTGGTACCTACCTACAAGGCATCCACTTGAAACGCGCGTCAAGTAGCCTTATATTCAGATCTCGGTTCTCAGTAACGATAACAAGTAGAACAAAGACTTTTTATTTATAGTAACTTAAGTTCATCTACTACACAATAAAATAGCGAGCCGAACGTTCAGTTTTATAGATTTTTCATAAAAAAAAAACAAAAATGACACTAAAATATGACCTTTAAAACAGTACTTCCGAAAAATCTATTTTCTTGCCAAGTTTATATAAATATTGTAATAACAGTTGATATTTTGAGTTCTCGAAAGATCTATGGATCCTATTTTATATAATTACAAATATGCTTCGAACTAAAATTTGATAATACGAGGGTCAAACTGAAAGTTCTTAGAAAATCAAAAACTGATTACATTAGCCAGTTATTAGTTTTATTATATCTTTTCAAAATATTGTCCATTCACGTCAATACACCGCTGCATGCGATGGAACCACTGGGAAAAGCACTTTGCCCACTCGTCCTTAGGGGTCTCTTCAATGACATCGCGATACGCAGCCACCGCTTCTTCAGCATTCATAAACCGCTTTCCTTTAAGTTTTTCTTTAATTTTTGGAAATAAATAAAAATCACAAGGCGCGAGGTCGGGGCTATACGGCGGGTGACCCAGTAATTCAACGTTTGATGTCGCCAAATAGTCGATCGTTCGCTTGGCGGTGTGCGACGAGGCGTTGTCGTGGTGAAGGAGGATCCTACTGCGAGGTCGTTTCTCTCGAACTTTTTCCAAGACAAGTGGCAAACAATTGGTAGTGTACCATTCTGCAGAAACTGTTTTTTGATCCTCTAACACAATTGTTGCAAAATGACCTATCCTTCCAAAGAACGAGGCCACCATTTTTTTTCCCGCACTTCGATCTCTCTTCACTTTAGTTGGCAACTCCTCGAAAGGAAACACCCACTGAGCAGATTGTCTTTTGGTTTTAGGATCATAACAGTAAATCCAGCTTTCGTCACCTGTTAGTATGTCGAACACAGCATTTGAGTCACCTCCGTTAAATCTTTCAATCATTTTACGACACCAATCCACACGATGGAGTTTTTGAGCCTCAGTCAAATTATGAGGTATCCACCGGGCGCAAAGCTTCCTGACCGCTAAATGTTCGTGGAGGATTTTGTGCACTTGACTCATACCGATGCCTAAGCTTGTCCGAATCTGTTGATAGGTCACTCTTTTGTCAGTCTCTATCATACGCCGCACAACACAGATGTTATCTTCAGTCGTCGCCGTAGAAGGCCGTCCCTCACGTAAATCATCAGTGAGATTAGTGCGACCACGTTTAAACTCATTAAACCAGTTGTAAACAGTCGCACGAGATGGGGCTTCATCGTGAAAGGCCAATCGTAGTCTATCATAACTTTCTTGTTGACTTAAATGACATCGAAAGTCATAAAAAATCATTGCACGAAAATTTTCTCGTGTTAAATTCATGATGACGTGACACAGACAATTTTCAATTTGCCGCCAAATCGTAAAACAAATGACAAATGAATGAAATATATACTCAGTAATATTGGCAAAGAGTTATATTTTCAAATTTTAGAATTATTTTTTTATTATATTGTTTATAAGTGGCCAGTTCTAAGAACTTTCAGTTTGACCCTCGTAAATTCAAGTAAAAACAGAGAAATTTGAGACATATTGGGCATAAACATGCTAGTTTAATATGGATAAGACATAAAGTGACGTATCACTTCACGTTTTAATTTTAATATATAAATAATTTTAGAACATACTTTTTTATAAGATTACCTAAAAACAAATGTGTAAGGTGGACATAATGCTAAAAACATTATCTATTAGTCAACTTTAGCAGATAAGTATATAAAGTATATAGGTAGGTAGGGGTTTAATGCTGAAAGTGCATTATTAAGGTGATATATTTAAAATCTAATAAGTTATTTATCACATTATTTACAGTCACTTGGAAAACATCAGAATATTGGCTATATAAAAAAAAAACACAGGATACAATATAGATGGAAAGTTTTATCATAAACAAAAACAAGACAAAAATTTACAGGTAATGAACGTTTTTAATGAAAAATGCATATTAATATTTTAATACCTTTTTTATAAAAAACAACTTAATTTTATTTTGCACAAACTTGCACAATATTTAGTGTATAAAAACAATATATGTATTACAGTATACAATGGAACAGCTACAGAAATTAATTATTAGGTACGTAATAAAAATAAATAAGTTACCACATCCGGCTTCCAACAGTACACAAGTAGCCATGCATTTATTTGTAATAGAATTAATTTTATTTAACGAAATCTGCAATTTTCGAAAATAATCGGTGCAAGATTACAAAGCAAACGTCTTATCTATACTATCCCACAATCGTCGACTGCCGCCATCTTAAACGCGAACTGGGTCTGTGGCGGCACCGCGCTGCGGTGACGCTCTGTCTGTGGCGTGCTCGCAACGCGGGCGTAGCATTCCCAGCTTTGTTTTTAATGATTTGCAGCTCAATTTAAACATATATAAGCTTTGTTACTCATAATAATAAGAAACAGTTTAATTTTAATACTCAATAAACAACAGTACAATAAGTTTTGATATTTATGTAACCTAAAAACCTTAAAGACAAAATTCGAGACCCTAGCGGCAAGCAGTGGAGTCCACACTTCAACGACGGATAAAACAAGAAAAATGGATTAAATACATGCTAATATTTATTTAAAATGAAAGAATAATAAACAATACTTACATTGTCCTCGAATAATTCCAAGCGGAGACACTAAACACAAACTTTATTGCTTTAAACAATGACTACAGTGAGCGGAGAATGTACCATAAAGTAACAGCTCACTACCATAAAGAATTGTATTAGATGTTAGATTTTGTTTGTTAATATTCCGTCTTTGTTATCTTACTCTTTATTACGTAGGAGAAACAGGGACAAAGGTATTTTAGAGCGCTGACTCGGCCGATTTAAGGAGACCGAATGTCAACCACCGCGCTGCGGTCATGCCACAGATAACGGGGTAGATGACGATGCTCGCGTTGCGGTGGCACGACAGACGAGTGGATATAAAGTCGGTAAAACAGTATAACGGTAGTGTCTTAATTTTGGCCTAGGTTGTATTGAAGCGGCTAGTGATTTAAAAATAAAACACCAGCTGATCTAAAGAGTTCTTTATTAGCAACAACTTAACTTAACCTTATTTGATATATATATTTTTTATTAAAATCAAATGTAATCGTGATTCTAATTTTGCATAACGCCATCTATTACATTGAATTATTATTATTATGACCTATTGTTTATAAATTAAAATATTATTTGAACTAAGGAGCTTAAACACTTAGGTATTCTATGATTGCGGATACATTCAACAACAGCTAAATTAGCTTGTTAAACTGATGAAAAGCACCATCCATTTGGTGGCGATTCCTAAGGAACGGTTGTTGGGATAAAAAGTAGCCTTCGGGCTTCAGGCTTAGAATTTTCTGAGTAACAAATTTCATCGAAATTGGTTCAGTTAATTCTGGGTGAAAATACATACATCCTTACAAACTTTCGCATTTATAGGTGGCTTTCTATAAGCGGCTTTGCCTGCGTTGTCCCCAAGGAACCTTATATCTGTCACTATTGATGTGTGAGCAGGGGCGTAGTTACCGCCTTATCTGCCATATCAAATTATACGGGGCCCCCGAACTACGGGGGCCCCCAACGTTCGTAAGCAAAAATTAATAAAAACTTCCCTTATTTCTTTTTATTTCAAAAATTACAAAAGTCAAAAACAGCAATTACTTTTTCCCGCGTAAAGCATGCGTTTCAAAGTTGGCAAAATCCAACATTGGTTTTCGCGGGCTTCATGATTTCTTCATTTAAGTAATTTACCTCAACAGGAGAATCTCACAATAATCGATGTTAAAATTCGCGCAGTTTATACAAACATTTTTCTTTTGTGAGAAATCATTACCCTTCATAAGTGCCTCAAACAAATTTACTTCTTACATTTGATTTCTTTTCAAATTTCATCAAAATGTATAGGTACGCATAATTAAATGAAATAAAACTAAATATAAAAAATAGCATTTATTTCAGTTTAAATTAGATATATCCCGTCATAATATAAAATGAGGATTAATTTGAGAACGAGGTTTAAATCGTTATCCGACCATAACAAGTCAACACGTCTCAATTTGATCTTTTCTCTTCTGTCATTTCCAATTTGCTTTAGGCCAATGGTTTAATCCAAGTAGATACTAAAGTAACTAATCCTTAATATGTGCTTCTATAGTATATTTTAGCATTAAGTAAAACATTATAACAAAATAAACACACAAGATCCGGGAGTCAAACCTTTATACGGTTTTACTGGACTAAATCCAACTATAATTCTAATTTATATATATTATTAATAATACATAAAATAACAATCTAATCTATATGTTCATTTGTTATATTTCCTCTGCTTTCACGTTCCTTATGAGTGGTAGATTTTTGAGTGTCGAGTCCAGGTTTTCGATACATGTCGTGAATAAGTCACGGTAGTTATACAACAACCAGACAAGTAGTAAGTAGAACATCGTTTTGAAAGCTAAATCCACGTAATAGCGTCTGTAACAAAAATAATGTGAATGTTTTAGTTACTTCTGTACAAAAAAAAACTACAGTTTCAGTTACTCTCAGTTAAACAGGTTAAATTAAAACTTTTGCCATTATAACAATTTCACTTCACATTACAATTTTGAAGATTAAGTTTACTTGCTGTAATTATAAGCTAGCATTTAAAAATAAATTCATCAGACATCTGATTATGAGTTAAAACATAACCTATTAATTTACGAGCTCAAAAAGATGTTATAAAAATTAATTGAGCAAGCGAAGCGAGGGCATCTATGAAAATTGATTTAGTTTTTACGTAACTTAAATAATATGAAATAACACTTACATTCTATTTAACTTTCTCGCTCTTGGTAAGTTAGAAGGATCTTCTTTACAACAATATTGTCTTGCGCCCTGTATGTAATTGCTCATATAAATATCGGTATCGATTGTTTTCAAATCCGTGAAAAATGTATCATTGTCTTCATCGCTGATCATCTTCCGCAGGCCTCGGTAATTGTCGTTTTTGAAGTGCCATTCCTTAGTCGTGTAAAATTGAAGTACATTCAAACCATGACTGATTCGTTTCTGAAGATTTACCAAGCTAGAAACAAAAGATCAAATAAAACTGGACGCATATGGAATTACTGAGTACTTGTTAGAGGAAAGGAAATATTTCACGTTTTGTTTGTTTGTATTGAATAGGCTCCGAAACTATTGGATCGATTATAAAAATTCTTTCACCTACAGGAAGCTACATCATACGCTTGTGAAACAGGCAAAATTTACGCTGGCGAACTCACGTAAAATAAGTAATAACATAGTAACATAATTTCTATTATACATTACTATGTTGTGCATGATATCCTTGCCTTTAAATCGTTTTTATGTTTTAGTGGGTTTTTTCATATTTTCGGAATATTACGGAAAGCTGAGATCTTGGTTTTATCCCATATCAAAACTTTACTTTCCAAGAGCATCGGGGTTACAATTTGGCATTTAATATTGCGGTTGTTATAATTAACCATAACCTCAATGGTTTTCAGAAGTTCTAGAATTTATTAAAATAATTTCATGTTATACTTACAAAGTCTTTTTTCCGAGAATGAATAAGATACCATCTACTAAGTAAGCTGGAATCCAGTGGAAGAAAAAAACTGCCAACTGGTTAGTCCATGCGTACGATTTAATGTTGCCTCCAGGGTACCAAAGTGCCACTGTATGGGGGTATATCTGCACCCACTTTTCACCTGAAACAATTTTTAATACCAATTTGGTGGTCTATGCAGTAGTTCAATTGTTATTCAGCACATGAAAAAACAAACTACTACCAATCTATCTATATCTTCATGCTGTTTCTAATTCTAGATATGTAGAGATCATGGATTCTTAAAGACCGTTAAAAAAAAATGGGCCAAAACCTAGCTCATGGAGTGGATAGTTAATAATGACTACAGATACATCTGAAACCAACGGTTTAACGAATTTTTTTTCCACGGTTTTGACATAACCCTCAGATAATACACGATCAATCTAATCGTGGAAAGTGAGTTTTGGCCTCTTTGTGTTCTACATCTTTCCACTTACATGTGTTACATACTCACTAAGGTAAAATTAAAGTATTACACTTACTCTATACAGCTTCAAAAAATAAAAAGAATAGTCATTTTTGGAGACTTTAATTGCGACTTGCTAAAGTCCATGCATGCAAAGTGATTTGAACGATTGGTATCAATATAACTTACTAACTATCAATATCGCTAAAACTAACTACATAATATTTTCTGCAAAATATAAAAATATTAAATGCCACATCTAGATGCAGGGCAGATTAAAAGCTTCGCATCATCGTCACATCTTTGTATTGCACTAATAGATAAGACTACCTTCTTTACTTGAAAAAAAAATAGTTTATACAGTGATTAAAAATCCAATTGTACGTTACGTTTTTCTTGGTGTTAAAATTGTTTATGTGTTGTAATTCTCAGTGAGTGAATTTTTTGTGATTCTTTTTGAGAATAAAGATTTTTATAACCGTAAAGTAGTTGAAACACCATTTGAATGCGACTAACATTAACGTAAACATTAGCAGAATTGAGGCCCAGATCCACCATTTATTTTGTTCGGCATTCTTTTAAATGTCCGAAAAATAGAGCATACAGTAAGTCCAAGTTATATGGCGCATGGTGAATCTACATATACGCAGAGTAGACCTACTGCTGCCGACTGTTACCGAAACTAAGACTAAATTTGATAACCAGTCTGTTTAGAAGTAGTCTTTTTATATGACCAATTTTGACTTCAAAGCATTAGGTCTTCGGTCTAACTTCAATCATATGTTTGTCATTATTGGAAATAATAAGTCTACTCTGCTCGAATAAGGATACATCCACCATGTGTCACATTTGCTGGAACTTACTGTGTACCCTTGTGAACTTTAACTTTACAATAAGGAAGTATTAAAAAAAAGAAAGTTCTAAAATAACACCTCACTAGATGAAGACTCTATCAAAAGTTGATTTTTGCAGGAAACGAACGGACAAAAGATTGTCATTTCCATTCTTTTTAACTAACATATTAAAAACTGAAATTTGCAAAGTTCGAAACTTAGATATCAATACAAATACGAAAAGTACAAATAGAATTTGAGTCATTTATTGAGTTTTGAAAATTAATTTACTTGTATGCATTAAAGAAAACCGGAAATATTCTGATGGCGAAATCAAGAGAGTACCGTTAGCGACATTTAAGTTGATATCGGGAACTAACTTTTTTTTAATACTTCCTCATTATAGAAAAACTTAAAAAGTCAATATAACTTAAATTTATGAAATAGGAACTAAAACTTTTCATACCTAATTCAATGATTTTCTGCCAAGAAATTTTGATTTCTCCAGAAAGAGTGACATTATACACGCTGACAGTGCGAAGTCTGCAAGTGAATTTATTTTTCTTATCTTATTAATTACACATAGACACATGTTAGATTATCACAATACGCCTCTACAAGTAATTTTAAACATCACCCTCAAAGTATTAAGGTTTCAAATCAAGCGGAAAATTTACAGTTTTGTATAACCTGAAGTGCAGTTGAGTGTAATTAGTTAATAGTCTTGGAACTAACTTGATTGCGTGATATAGGGTATGTTCCGATATACACTGCGACCACTGAACAGTATGACGTCAATTTAGTATACTGGAAGCCCGTTCCTTTATAGCTAGTTATAGGTACTGGTGACTTTTTAAAACAGAACGCAGTCCAGTATACTGTTAACCCTATTTTTTGGCGCCATTTTCAAATTTGTTAATGCAAGGTGAAAATAAATAAAGATTTTCTCCTTTCAAAAGAAAATATTATAAAATTTTGTATTAAAAAAAAATATTTATCAATTAAATCCATCTTATAATAAACGTAAGTATGTTTTTTTGTTTTTTTAGAAACTTATCATTTCTGATTCTGTTTCGACTGATCACGTGATCAAAAGCACTGCGAGCACCTTACCTCGAAATCTCCAGTGCTCACAGTACGAATATGGCGGCAATTTATGACGTCATAAATTTCCCTAGGGTACTGTAGCAGTGTACTGGCAGTCCATAACGGAACGGATTTTTCAGCAGTAAGACCACTGCGCAGTGCTCGCAGTGTATATCGGAACATACCCATAATATAGCTTAAAATGTTCCTAGAAAAATTTGATATAAATCTGTCTGCCAACGAGGAAGTATTTAAAAAAAGAAATCACTAAAAAGCACCTCACTAGATGGCGACTCTAGCAACAGTTGATTTTGTAGGAAACGAATAGACCAAAGATAGTCACTTACATTCCTTTTAACTAACAGATTAAAAAACTGAAATTTGCAAAGTTCGAAATTTAGATATCAATACAAATACGAAAAAGTACAAATAGATTATGAGTTGTTTATGGAATTGTGAAAATTAATTTACTTTTATAGATACAGAAAACTGGAAGGGTTGTCATGGAGAATTCAAGAAAGCACCGTAGCGACATCTAGTTTGATTCCGGGAACTAATGTTTTTTTAAATACTTCCACATTACAAAGATTGTCGTATTCTACAAATACCTAAACTATTTTTTTTATGTAAGACTGAGAGTACCGTCTTTTTACCTAGCCAAAGCTGTAGCATACGCGATTAATATACAGCCATTGACGACCGCATCTATAGGGATTGCATCAGCGATATACGATGGTTCACAGTGCATAGTCCTGATTACACCTGAAATGAAAACAATTAGAATTTTTGTGATATGTCCAAGCAAAAACCTAGGTATGAAATAAGTATTTAGTTCATTTAGTTCATTAGTTTAGTTCATTTACAAGTTTGCACGCCTGTCCTCACAAACATAAAGCAACACAAATAATCTCATGTAACTTTTTATTACCTTTACCGCTTCCTATCAAAAGACCCGTTGGTCCATTCAAATTGTCTATCCATCCAGGATAAGGATCCTTCCACGCAGCAATTACTGTAAAATAAAAATAATATATACAGCAATTGCTCATAAACATATAATTTCTTCATAGACGCGATTATATTTTGTTATTTTGTATATCGTGATGCCTTACTTATTATTTCTATACCTTTATTCTGAATATATCATGGTTGTCTATATTTACCGCTGCTGTTGACAGTAAGCAGTGACTTTATCTTATCTTCGTGTCAGAGGTTTTCTGGAAAATGGAAAGGTCTATTTTATAAAACTTACCTATTGATGGTCTAGCGATTGCTATGGGAAATTTGCTCTCATATTCTGCCACCAGAGTCTCTGTGATAGCTTTGGTGTAGGAATATGTGTTCGGTTCGGATTCTATCAACCTGCAAATAAATCAGATTAATACAAATCACATGACCAACTATATCTGACAAAATAAGGAACAATAAATTGTTGTATCATTTAGACCCTGTACAGAATTCGAGCGAGTACGTATAAAACGCATTACTCGTTGGTAAGAAATAGAGTTACAAAAAATTTAATGTTTGCAATAATTATCCCGAAATCGTGTCTGTATTCGCCTTTTCTGTACAAAGTTTTCAAATAAGTTCATTTTACCCGATACAAGAGTAAGGGTCGTTGTAAATCTGACGGAATATCTGTCAAGCGTCTCAGGGACGTATGAGGTAGTACGCTACGGAAAATTCTTGGAGTGTGCAAGTTTGAACGTTAAAAAGACATTTGTGAGTTCTGGCGTTCCGAAAATCAATGAAAGGACACTAAAGAACACATATGCTCAATCTTTAAATCAATTTCCTTTGAGACGACAAATAGTTAATATTATAGTTAAAAACCTGTTGACAATTTATCAATATTTAAACAGATTTTCCTTCCCAGGAAATATTAGTAAAAATTTGATTAGGTACACAATGACCTTTAAGTAACTTCAGTTGTGATCATCACATTTTATAGGTTACAGACTTACTTTGGTTCCAAATAAGCTAGCAGAGCATCATCCATCCACTCACATATGTCCATGACCTTCCGCGGATTATGTACGGCAGGATATATGCGTTCCTCTAGTACATCCAACTCACAACGGCAATACGCTGTTGAGAGATGCACTAATACCTGGAATTGTAGAAGTAAAAAGTCTGTGTTAGTGCCTATCGTCTGTCTTTTGCTACAGTTCACGATATCAGACATTAAGTGCTGCCTCTTTGTAATGTAAAGAGACCCTGTTGCGTGCGGGCTGCAGGAGGTGTGTAGGTCTCTCCATCCTCATGGTCTAAACGCAAGTATAGTCTACATGCAGGTATACCCGCTAAATCTTCACCACCCTCACTTTTAGGGAAAGGGCCTGGAATTCAGAAAGAACTGCTTCACATAAAGACCTTCAATTTGAGTCTTATGTATCTACTATATGAACCATGACAATGATAAGCCATGACTATGATTGCTATTATTAGATGATAAGAATGATAGAAAACTTTAACTGGCTTACAACTATCAAATAAGTGAGGCCTTGAGTTAGATAGATGAGAAGATGAGAAAAATGACGAGAATACAGACTCCATATGAAAATAGTTGTGTGGCCCATATAATTTATATCTATAACCTCGTACCTCTAAATTCTCTATGGACTCGGCCAATTGCAAAACGCGTAATGTTCCATTAGTGTTGAGATTTACGGCATCTTTTAACTTCTGATCGAATCTAGAACAGTTTTACATGTTTAAATAAGTTAAATGTGTGTTAATAGGGAAAGGAGCTGATCTGATGATGTTGAGCTGGTGGTCCCAGTTGCATCTGCAGTCATTAATACCCTTAATTATGCATTGGTGTTCCAAAGGTGGTATGTAGGGTCACTGTCCATCCTCCTTAACCATCATAAGGAAGGACTGAGCTCCTGTAGTGGGTACGTAAAAGGCTGACGATGATGATAATGATCTCTGGTTCAAGATATACAACGAAAAATTGTTTTGTTCTAATTTTATTATACACACCAATTTAAGCAGACCTTTATGTTAGTGGGGAAATTCTATACGAAGCGAATACTTATGTGCAGCCGTGTGTATATTTTTGGGCTATAACTCTATCCGTCCATCTGTCATTAAGCTGTATCTCCTGAACCGTGATAGCTATATAGTTGAAATTTAACAGGTATTGTATTATTACTATTGCCGTTATAACAATAAATACCAAAACTAAATCAAATATTTAAAAGGGGCTCCCGTACAACAAAAACTTTTCTGTACAAACATGCTCGAATCCGATTCGGAATTGACCGGCTTTTAGTAACAAATTTTGCATTTATACCATGACTATACTTACCGCACGCAAGCTGCACTATGAAATATGATGTTGCACTTTTTCTGTAGCTCAGTTCGATCATCGTTGGAGAGATCCAGACCATCCGATAATATATTGCCTGGAATCAATTTTACTTTTTTGAAAGCATCCGGGTTTTGGCTGCGAACTAAGTCGAAGAGCTAGAATAACAGAAAAGTTCCAATTATTTACGGGCAACATACAGAAATGTACAAGGTACTATATACGTAAGTAGCTGCATTACTAGCTGCTCTTCGCCAATGTAAATCATAGCTTCAATCACCCACGTTTGTAGGTTCCTGTACGTACTAGTAGTTTCTCTTTATACTATTAGTATACATATTACCATTGTACCGCAACGATTTGATTTATAAATTAGAATTTAACAATTAACTTCAGCAATTTAGGACCAAGCATTTATAAAATCGAGCTCTTCCTAGCTTTAAAAAGCACGTTAGGCAGTTAGTTGTTCCTGGCTGCATCTGCTGTCGTTAACACCTACAAATCCACACTAGACCTGCATGGTGGATGATGGCTCAACTTCTTTGAAAGGTAATAAATATAGAATAATTCACCAAATGTCTAATATCACTCGATATCTTACCTTATTATTGCAGAGGTCATTAAGTCTCTCTTCGCTGGTAAGTCCTTTCTTGTTCCTCATGAGTAAATATATAGTATCTACGTTATGACAGCTTCTCAACAATTTTTCAAGAAGAGCCTAGTAGAAAAAAAAAAAAAATTATTAACATAGATAATAATTTACAATTATCACAGATTTGATTGTCTACATTTACTAGATTTATACTCATTTCACCTATTTTAGGATTCCGTAGTAAACAAGGAGCCCTTATAGTTAAGCTATATCCGTCCGTGCGTCCGCGATTTAGCTCAAAAACTATTGGTACTAGAAAAGTGTAATTTGGCATGAGTATACACGTCAATTATGTCGACAAAGTGGTAAAGTGAAATTTCGAAAATATTTTCTTAGGGTGCCTCCTCTCCATGTGAAGTGGGGTAGATATATTTTCGTCTTTCCCTCAGTATAGGGCATTATTGGATAGGTCTTTCAAAAACATTGGGGGTGTAGGAAGGCCGTTTTCGATTAAGTAAACCGTTTGTGACTTATTAAGGTTTAAAAAGGTATTTTTTGTTAGAGTAAAGTCTCCCTCCCCTCTACCAACTAAATGGTCGTTGGTCAAAACACAAACGCTGCGGCAGTAATACCTATAGGTATAAAGGATGTTAAAAGGAAAACTACTCGTATCACACTTAAGTTGGCTTTACAAGTTTACGAGTAATAGTCGACTAATTGTTGAAAACAACAAACGTGTTTTTTTTTTAATGTATAATGTACAGAACCCTTTGTTCGCGAGTCCGACTCGCACTTGGCCGGTTTTATTATTTAAAAATAATTGATCAATTATATAAAAATCAAAATTCCATTTTAATAATTTAAGGGCTTTGATTATACTTATAATCAAAGTTAAGAGTTTCATTTGTTTAAAGTTCGATACGTTAAGAGGAAAAAACGGATCACAAATAGGATCATTTTGTTTCCGATCTCTCTCTTAATTTTGAGACTCATGGAGATATCAAGTACAGGTCTACAACCCATGAAGCCGTGAAAAATTAAAACCACTAAATTAACGAAAAACGAATAACGCTGCAAGAAAATGCATATTTCGACTTACACTTTACCGGTTTTTTAGGGTCCATAACTAAAATGTAAATAATGGTGTCTTATTACTATTACTCCACTAACTGTCTGTCTGTCACCGGATTTACACAGATGATTGTATTCTGTTGTTGATATATCTAACAACAAACACAGAATAATATAAATATTCAAAAGTCTCTCATACAACAAACATCTTTTTTTTGTGTTTTAATCGATATAATCAGCCAATCAATTGAGCAGCTAGCCCTTTAATTGAATAGCGCTATTAAATTAACAGGCTGACTTTCGATCACATCGATCGTAGCTTAACGCAACGTTCTACAATATGGTCGAAAAAAGGTCAGCTATCTAATCAACTGTTTCTATCTGCAATTGTCAAGTGTCATCTGTCAGCTAACTAATCAATTCACCGGGAATACCGTTATTTATTGATAAGATTAGAATACTCAAATACTCCTTGTTACGATCTGTAATTGATACAAATACAGGACTGATTTGTTTTTCAAAGTTTGAACACCCGACAATAGCTTTCTTAATTTATTGATATCAAATCAAATCAAATCGTATAGTGGCCATATAACTCAGAAAGTTACACACGACAAGTCTTTTACAATAAGCATTTCAAATTAAATACAAAGGTCAAATCATTGTAGGAATGTCAAATTGGTTATTTTTACAATTCTTAATAATCAATTATAGCACAGTCAATTAAATTGCAACATTACAAATTAAAATATAATATATATATATGTTACGCTCAAAGATCGAAAACGCTCAGTGAGCGGAAAAATAGCTCACAACGCGTTGTGGTCACAGTGAAACATCCACATGGCGAAATTCGTGTTATGGCTCTAATGAAAACGCGCACGACGCGTTGTGGCAATCACAGAAAGACCAAATAGCGAAATTCGTGTCGTGGCTGACATGCTATTCGATCTCAACGCGTTGTGGCAATGAAAAAAAGCCATGATGCGTTCTGAGCATTTATTGTAAGTAAGCAAGGGTTTATAATGTGCCACTGCAAAAGATACTGTATTGATAAAAAGTGCAAGTGTCGCTCCAAGAATATAAAATGCAACTCCAAATGCCACAGTAATAGTTCCTGTAAAATAAATAGCAATCAAATACTTATTTTAAGTACATTATTGTTGTTTATTGGTGGACAATAAACATTTATGTTTGTGTTAAATATTTTTATTACTTGAAAGAATTTAAATTGTCATAAAAAAATTAAAATCCCTAATTATTTTAAGTGAATTGTAAGAAATTTACAAATGATTGACATTTCGTGTTCAGTAATTTATTACTTAATATTAATATGTTGATTTTTTTAAATATAAAGTAATCTCAATAAACAACAAATATCGTTTTATTTTAATTTATATAATATATTTCATAATAACAAACACGTTATGCAGTGATTTTATAAAATTAAAAATATTTCCTAAGGACATCTACCAAAACGTTTCCAGCCTAGGCCTAGTAGGATCCATATCGGAAAGTAGTGTGCGTCGTAATCAAATAATATTCCATACGCGTGATGGCTTTTCTTCATTGCCACAACGGGTTGAGATCGAATAGCATGTCAGCCACGACACGAATTTCGCTATTTGGTCTTTCTGTGATTGCCACAACGCGTCGTGCGCGTTTTCATTAGAGCCATAACGCGAATTTCGCCATGTGGATGTTTACTGTGACCACAACGCGTTGTGAGCTATTTTTCCGCTCACTGAGCGTTTTCGATCTTTGAGCGTAACATATATATATATATATACCTATTATCATAAATTAGATTATAAATTTATATTATGATGATGATGATTCTTATATCTTGTCATCTACCAGATGATATGAGACACGTTGAAAATAATAAAGAGTTTCAACCTTATCATTGTCTACTCTTATTAATAAGAATATTTATAAACTTATTGTAGGTGCAGAGTTTTTGTAAATTTAATAATATTAATCTCATCTCATAATCAGTTCTTAATATTAATTTCAATGGACTACCTAAGTTTAATATTTTATAAAATTTAATTTTAAGAATATTCGCTCGTAAATTTGCAATTGCACCAAGGGTTAACATTTAGTGTATCGTTATTGTTTATACGAGTAATTCATATACCTATATAAACTGTCTAATACAATACTTACCTTTCCCAGGAATCCCGTCGCACCCGTAATTAAAATACACTTGCCCTCATAAAACTCGGTGACAGAAGGAGCCATTTTTGTATCTAAAAAAAGTAAAGTGACTTTAATGAAAATGCTTAAAAAATCCACTATCCCATGTAACACTAAGATGCGATCCGCAGCTGCTCTGACTATTGAGCTACCCGAGATCCAACAGGACCGACGAATTTTCCGAGCACTTGTTTCTTTTTTGCTATTAATAAGCGTATTTTCATCAATGTTCAGGCAACCCATCCAAACAGTGGAAAGAAATATTTGTTCATAAGAAAAATATGCACAAATAATAATCATGGATATGAATTTCACAAAAGGATACGAAACTTTCCGTTTTTTAGAGGACAATAAAATAGGCCATCAGTTGTCATATCTACAATATAGGTATAAATAAATATTTACCATTTAAATTCATCGAAACCATCAAAGTCCTAAATGTAACTCGAACTATGTATATTCATATGCTTGACCTATGTCAATGATAATGGTGCACCGAAAATAAATTACGATTAAAATACAATTACCGTTTTGATAGAAAATGTTACAAGTGATTGTCTATAACATTGAACTCCAACAATGACACAAAAAAGTATATTTTTTTTACCAAAAATATTTGTTCTTCATGCTTTTTCACTGTTTCATGCTTTTATTGCTTATATATAGTTTATACTTTAAATAAAAACTTAAAATAATAAACAAGAAAATTTGCGAGAATGATTGTTTTGTTAAACAACTTTAAATCGTTATATATCCTAAAGTATTATTTAAATTGAAAAATAATAAAAGGAACCTAAAGACGATTTTAAAATACCTATTCAATGACACCCCACTTGACATAGTTCATCGATTTTCTTTTTCATTTTGACAATATGGCTTCTGGTTGTCACTGTGGTGAATTTTAACTACTGTGATGTCTTTAGTGTCACTCGCAAGGTTAAGACGAATTGATTGACATAAGAATCATCAAAATCGGTCTATGCATTTGGTCTCTAGAACACCACATAGAAACAAACATACATACATACATACATAGACTGATAAACACATTACCCTCCTTTGCTTCGCGCAGTCGGGTAAAAATATGAATGCTTATCAATACCTCATACATACTTAACTTACGCATGATTTTAAATAACTATGAAAAAACAAATTTTAACATAGTACGTTAACTTGTTGAAATAAATCATATACCAATTACATTTTTATTCTGCAAAAGGGTTTTCTTACTGTGGATTTGTAAACAAACAATTGAAAGCTTATTAATATTTATCAGTTTCCATGAGTGGGTTCGCTCATTACATGTTTGTATAATATTTACATGTATTTTTGTATAGGTTTAATTTCTATTGGAAGTATCCTTGAAGGATATATAATTAGCGCTGCTATTGTTAATTGTCATAATGCGAAAAGGATGGTTACGATATGATCAAATAAGCTGAAATGTATTTGCCCAATGAAGAATTATAATTTTCGTATATTCAGTCTCAATTTATCACGTTCCTGTCCTTTATTATAATACACGATTGTGCCATTGTATTAGAGGTGATTATGTAGTTGTAAGTTTCTTGATTTGTATCAGCACTGTAATGTAGAAGTGGATACAAACCCAAAAATTCTGTTAGGTATACCAAAATCAACTTTTACGAAAATTATATAATTAATTTAGCAAATGATTTTAGTTATTTTTCCGCATAGTAAATATAGAGTAATATTTTTTAATATTATTAACAATTATCTATATTTTATTAATTCATTCAAATACAAATTGTGCCTCTAAAATATCACTCAATCTCAAGAGAATCGAAAGAAATAAATTATCTTTTTTATAAAAGATACTTAAATATCAAAATGTCCAGAAGTAAGTTATCTATTACTTAAATGATTGAAATTATTAGCCTAAGGGTTTCAATACACTTCAGTCTTGCATTTATAATGGGAAACGGTATGAAACTTAAGTGCCTTAGAAAGTAAAGAAACATACAAAAAAAAATCATGAATAATCATAAGTAAACAGCGTCGATCTGTCCGACAAAATTGCCTAACGACGCATCCTCCTCAAAGTTACGAAAACTAATTGAAGCTCGTATTTTTAAAATTAATAAACAGCAATAAATAACTCTATGTATAACACAAGAAAAATACGAGTAAATTACCGCATTCTTACATCCTACTCATAGTTTTGGTCAAATTGTTTTCTATTAGTACAAAAGTCAGTACATCTCAGAAGTTCGACTCTGAAACGGCTCGTTCGATTTTGACGGGACTTTCATTGGCTACTTTCCATTCGGACGAAGACGCGGACTTAGCTAATTACTCATATATTAATAATTAGACATTCATTAATTGGAACAATAACATTCAGCGATCGCTAGAAGTTTGTTTCGCGCCACCATCACCAGGTGTTCCAGCACCTAATCTCCGCACTGGGTATTGAGTGAAAAAACTCTAATACATTTTTGGCACGAGCTCTCAGTCTACATTTGCCTAGATATGATAACCAAAGTTGATCTCAAAAATATCGTTCGAGCTTTGTTCGCGATTTCATTCGCATGGATCGAATTCAAAAACGCTAACATATTTTTTATTGTGTCTTAATGTAGTGTTATGGTTTTATCTTTGACAAAGACGAAATTTCATATCCTATTTCAATCAAGATTTTATTTTTCCTATGTCCTTTTCAAAGGTCAATCGTTTCATACTTTCTTTCTTTAATTAATAACAGCATTAGTTGTAAGCAGTTAATAATATTTGGTTATTTGGTATATTGAGAAATCAAAGCTACCCAGGGGCGCGACCGCCTACTCATGGACGTAGCCGTAGTTGTAGCTATAACCTACGCTTTATCGATATTTCTTATGAATCTGTTTATATTCTTTTAAAATTAATTGTCTTTTTATTTTATTTATATATTTCATCAAACATTTTGGTTTGTTTTTCTTTTCGAAATAGCATTACAAAAACAAAAACTGGAAATATATTTTTATAAATATTTAAACTTTCGATAAAGATGAAAATTTGTTTAAATTATTATATTTATATTTGATCAATTTTATTTGATTATTATTATATTTTATCAATTTTTGCATTCACAGTGTTATATTGAAAAATATTGTTAGTGATAAAAAATCCACTTTGACCCTGGTACTCTGATATGGGATTATCTATGAATATATAATAGTCATAACTTATGTCAGAGTTGGTGAGTTTCTTGCTTATTCTTCTTCTTGGACGAAAGATATCTTGAACGTTTAGTAGGGAATTTATATAATTCAAAATAAACTTTCAATAAATTTATATGAATAAAGACATTTTGGTCCATGAGTTTGATTGAAATATCTTGGCTAGAATTACATCGTTCAAATCAATGCATTTGAGCATATAAAAATTTATGATATATTGGTTATAAATTGTTTTGTTCAAGATATAGATCAAAACATTATAAATAATTATTCGTCGTGTTAAAATATAAAAATATGTTATACTTTTGAATATTGCACCGAGTTACATTTTTTTTACGATTTGTATTTTTTAGAATAACCATAGTCCACATCGGTATCTCAGTCCTATTAATGTATCCACTTCTGGGGCACAGGCTTTGCCTATATGTAGAATCAAATCTAATTTAATAGGGAGAATGTGCCCAGTGATTGTTGGGAATTAACGGCTGCAGATATAGCCCGGACCGATAGCTTAACATGTCATTCAAAGCATGGAAGACTTCGAGATAATAATACTTTAGTCACCCATCCTATAACAGACATTTGAGAAAGATGCTTCACAACCGTATCGCAGATCGAACACGGTTACCAATTCGCTATCGATATGTTGTTTTAAACTTAAATGCTTATTAATACCAGAAACTCTACAAAAGAAGGAACCTACATAGTATCAATCGCGGTTTTAGCAATCACTCTGATGAATATGTTATCGAGCTCCTGGATTTATTTTTAAGATAAAGATTCAATTCATATTATAGTTTATTAATTATTCAATTATAATCAATAAGTATTTATTAAAAAATAATCGCGTGTGTTTATTGTAAATAAATAAAATTAATGAGGCCTATTATGACTTGAATATTCTGCGGACCTCCGCCGCACAGTCTAATATTTAGATTTCGACAATTTCCGATAAAATTCGGCGTTACAACATACTTTTGACAGTTCAAAGAGATAATAAAATATAATTTTATAGTAAACAGAAATGATGACAAGCAAATATTATAGGCTTATTTAATATTATTGACAACATATTGCAACATTAAATGTGCACTTTTGTAGTCCAATTTAATTAATTATTTAGTGTATAGTATTATTCCTTTAAATAAAGTTTAATTTTTCTTAGTATCAGAAAGTCATCATCATTATTTAATAATATATAAAAATATGTTACTATAAGTTTTCAAGTATATTTTGTTTATTATAATATTTATAATGAACATGTTCCAAATGTTACTATTTGTTCCTTAACAATAAAGAGAAGAAAAAAGAATTAAACATTTTATTTTGACTAACGTATTGATTGATTAATTTCAGTAAGTGTTTAAAATAGATAAATTTTTATAGAATAATTTGACCGTAAAGGGTTTAGCCGGATACGTATGACGAGTCGGCCCCCAAATGGGAATCGATATTGAAACTTATGTTTTAATATAGACTTGATGTTCAAACACGATTTATGTACTTTTTGCGACCGACTTCCGCTTTGACCTTGAGATAGAGAGCAAAATATCCGTATGCTTGACTATTACTGAATGTGATATATCTCTGAAGCTAATTAAGATAAAGAAGTGAAATTAACGCGAGGTGTTAGGTTACATTACAGAGTATATCACATATATTTTTTTATAATTTTTAGAATAAAAAATTACATGAAAAAAATTAAAATAAAAAAAAACATGTTTTTTTTTCTGAGTTCTCTGTGACTTACAATCACGAAATTAATATATGTTATGCTCCTTTGTGTGCTCTATCACCCATAAAAATTGCGTGAAAAAAAAGTTGGTGCAACACAACGAAAAAAAATTATATGTGATTCGCGCCTTGTAGTGTGAGTGTATAAACAAACAAGTTCGAACTTGTTATCGAGCTGTTTACTGCATCGTTTGTTTAGCTAAAGTAGCAGTCATTTGTATTACACAAG